TCAGCGATGGGGATGACGGCAAGGTGTGCGAATGGCAAACGAGTGGGGGGCGTGGGGTCAAGCGGAGGGTTTGCAGCACCGACAAGGGCCGCGCCCTGGGCGCCTGGTTTGTCCATGGTGGGTGGGAAGCGGGAGCCGAAAGGGAACGCGACGGGGAGCGTGCCACGGCGCCGGACTGGCCGTCCGGGGCAAACGGCTGGTGATGTGCTGCTTGACTTCCTTGGCCAATGCCTTCCCACAGTTGGAGCCGTTTTTCTGGTCCCTCATTGCCCCGCCTTTGTCCCGACCACATGGTTGAAAAACGGGCGGGGCAGGGTGCTGGCGCACCCCCACTCCCCCACCCCAAAAAATACAAGACGACCCAAACAAACGATCCTGCAGCGCGATCTTGGCCCCTTGCCGGCTAGGGCCCGACCCCCCCATGGGGTCGAGGGCCTCGAGCCGAACCGCTGCGGCGCAGGACCTGCAGCCGGACATCGGCGGCGGCAACTCTGACGAGTTCGCGTTCGCGAGCGCGCTCGTGCTCGCGATCGTGCTGATAATGCTGTCTCGTTGGCCGTGCTGCCCGCGATGTTTGTTTTGTCATTGCCGTTCGTGTTGACCGTGTCATGCGTGATCTTGTTTGTGTGCAGCGGTGCTGTTATTCGTGGCCTTCGTGATGATTTGCAGATGACTGTCGCGCGCGGTGTTGGTAAGCATATTTGTGGATGCATATGCATAGATATATACATATATGCACCTGCGCACACCTATATAGATATATATATGTATATGTATATGCATACACATATACACAAATACATGTAACTGCGCATATGCATGCGCACGCATAAATGTTCGGTTTATCTTAAATATCCGCTTCTGCTCTTACATGTAACTGGCATGCGCAGACATTCACAGGGTCAGATGCTTCGCACTTGTGTTTACACGTATATCTGCGGTAATATATATATATATATACATACATACATACATACATACATACATACATACACACATAGATGTGTGTATGCACGCGCATGTCCACCTAAACATGTGATTACATGTACAGATATATACATATATATACACATAGATGCGTTGTATTTTATATATACATATATGGTAAACATATCTCTATATATGTGTGTGTATGTATACCAGGATCGCTGGATGCATGCAACATGCACACCTTACGCACTGATCAACATTACACTTCCTCCATTAGCACGTGCGTCCTCCGGCCTACGTTCTAAGCGCGTAGACTCTCCGGTTTAAGAGAGCCGGCGGGGGAGCCGCACCGCCGCGGGACAGGCTGGCAGTCAGGAGGGGCGCGGGGCGGGGCGTTGCGAGGACCGACAGGAGGGCTGTCAGGGAGGGCAACGGGGGGAGCCGTCGGGGAGGGCGTCGAGGCGGGCGTCGTCGGGTGGGGCGCCAGGCGCGGCGCAGGAGACGGTGGATGTCGACGTCGGGATCGGGGTCGGCATGGGCGTTCAGCGGCGTCGGGGTCGGCGTCGGCGGCGTCGACCCCGTCGACGCGAGGACGGCCCTCAACGTGGGGCGGGGAGGCCGTCGGGGATGATGGAATCGGGGGTCCAGGCTGTGGTGGCGAGGATGCCGCCAACGCTCTTGGCTGCGCTGGCGAGGATGGTGACTTCGGCGACGCAGGCTGCGCTGACGAGGATGCTGCCATCGAAGCTCTCAGCAGCGCTGGCGAGGATGATTGCGCCGGTGATCCAGAGGACGCCGTCGTCGAAGCTCATGGCTGCGCTGGCGAGGGCAATGGCGCCAGCGATCCCTGCTGTGCTGACGAGGGCGCCGTCATCGAAGCGCTTGGCTGCGCTGGCGAGAGCTATGACGCTGGTGATCCAGGCTGTGGTTGCGAGGGCGCTGGCGCCGAAGCTCTCGATTGCGCTGGCGAGGATGATGGCCTCGGCGACCCAGGCTGCATTGACGAGGATGCTGGCGCAGAAGCTCCCAGCTGCGCTGGCGTCGACGATCCAAGCTGTGCTGACCAGGGAGCTGGCAGAATCCTCAACTGCGATGGGGAGGATGGTGGCGCGTGTGATCCAGGATGTGCTGAGGGAGATGCTGGCCTCGATGCTTTCGACTGCGCCGGCGAGGAGGATGGCTGGCGGCCCCGGCAGTGGCGGCGAGGAAGCTGGCGTTGATGCTCTCGGCCGCACTGGCGAGGAAGACGGCATGGTACCGGGACCCCTGGCTGCGCTGGCAAGGAGGGCGGCGTCGGTGATCCAGGATGCGCAGACGAGGGCGCGGGCAAGGCTCGCGGCCGCGCGGGGGAAGATGGCGCCTGTGATCCAGGTGGTTCCGAGGAGGATGCTGGCCTCGATGCTCTCGACTGCGCTGGCGAGAATGATGGCGTTAGTGGTCTTTGTAAGAGGTGGCGAGGATGCGGGTGTCGATGCTCTCGATGGCGCTGACGAGGATGCTGGCTTTGGAAATCCAGGCTGTGCTGACGTGGATGCTAGCAGTGGTGCGCTCGGCTGCGCTGGCAGGGTTGGTGGCGACGGCGATCCAGACGGTGCTGGCGGGGATGCTGGTGCCGATGCTCGCGGCGGCGCTGGCGAGGATGGTGGCGCCGTCGATCCAGAATGCAGATGAAAGAGGCTGGAGAGGTTCAGCGCCTGCCCCTGGCCGCTCGCTGAGGCCGCGGCAAGGGGGGGCGGGGGAGCAGCGGCGTGGACCAGGGCGTCGAAGCAGGCCGCGCCTACATCGCGGAAGGGTGGCTGGTGGAAGGGGGGGCCAAGCCAGCAGGACGTGCCTCGTGAGGAGGGACCGCAAAGAGAATGCCCCCCACTGCGCAGGACGGCCCCGAAGCAGGGGAGAGCGACGACCGCTCGGGCAGCCCCAGCTCCCTCGCAGCGATGCTGGCGATCCCTCCCCCTGCGCGGGACGGCCCCGCAGCAAGCGAAGGTGATCTGGCCGGCAGTCCCGCTTCCCTCCGGATGCCGTCCTCGCCCAGGGCGGCCTGCAACTGCGCTGGCGACGACGCCCCGGCATCAGCGGCAGCAGCGGAGGCCACGGCCGCAGGGCCGGCGGGCCTGCGCCGGCGGGCCGTGGGCAGAAGCGGCGCTGGGTGGCGGCATGGCCAGGTGGTGCCGCGGCGCTGGTGGCACGGCCAGCGGCAGCGCGCCGCTGCCGCTGCGCCGCGCCGCGGCGGTCTCCATCCGCGCAGGGCCAGAGCGCGCGCCTGAGCCAGGGGCGTGCTCGAGCCTAGACGGCTTGAGAGAAAGGGATACGGAAGCACACACACACACACACCCACACCCACACACACACACACATATCGTCCATACCCCCCTCTTTCGACGCCCGGTGATTTTCGGGTCATAATTCGGGCCTCTGGCGGCCGTTTGGGACGATCCTGGCGGCCGTTCGGGACTACCCGGACAACCCCAGAAGTGCCCTCGGCGAAGCGCACCTGGCGCAAAGCACCCCGATGCGAGAAGGCCTCGAAGCACGGACGAAACCTCACTCTCAGATCAAGCCGATACTGACGTCCAAGTCCGCCACTCCTGGTCTCGGCGGTGAACAAATCTCCCTTTAGTGAACCACCCTATAATGAAAACGGCCTAGGACCGAAACCGACGCACCTGCACCCGCAAAAACGACGGCCGCGACGCCCTCTCGCGAAACGAAAACGGCCAACTCGCTAATCGACGCGTCAGGGTAGGAGGTCCATCAAACTCCGATGGCCCCCTCCCCTACCAGCCTGGAACATATCCCTATCCCTATGCTGGGCTTCGCCTCATCACGATGCCGACCTCAGGGATTCCCTCAGTTTCTGAGGGCGCACCCCTAAGATTGCCATCGCCTTTTGGCGTGTCAATCTTAGGGGTAGGGGTACGCTCGAGGCTGGTGAGTCCCCTCCCCCCTCTTGGACGCGCCCGAGAGGTGCTGATGCGAGCCCGCGGGCAGCTCCGCCCCCGCCTGCTGGGCCGCCAGCCGCTCCGCCGTGACCAGGAGCTGGAGCCACGAGGACCCGTCGGCCGGGCCCTCCTTCCGGGAAGCCAGGCAACGGTACAAACCCAGACATTCAAAGCAGTAGCGATTGGCGGCGCGCACAAGGGGGAAAGGGAGGGGGGAGGGCTTCTCAGAAGGAGGCTGCTTCTTGGAATGCGCCGGCCTTACATCTATAGATAAGGCCCGCGCCTTCTAAGAAGCAGGGGTGCTTCTAAGAAGCCCTCCCCCCTCCCCCCACACCCCCCCCCCAGCGCGTGGCTGTACCGAACAAGGGTCGGGACTCCCGGGTGGACCCGGACTGCCCAACATACGAGCCCTCAGGCGCCGCCTCCGGCGCGCGCGCTCGGGAGGGGATGTGAGGAGGGGGGTCTAGCGCCGATCCAAGAATGTGCGCAGACATCCGAAAGCCCACCATCCCTAAAAAGGCGGCGCGCTGCTTCTGTACAACGTGGGGGTCCTCAAATTTCCGACCCTTTCGAAGGGGCCCACTTTTCAGCCAGGGTCGTCTTGTGACAGTCCACGGGCCCAGCCAGGGGTCCCAGAGGCCAAAAACGGCGAAGCAACTCCGCAATGTTTTTCCCCAGTGCGCTGGAGATCGGGGAGCCCGCGCAGTTAACCGAAAGACGACAGCAGGCTCGTGTGGTGACGACCCCGCCGTTGGTTTCTGACGCCGCGTGGGTCGTTCAATCTTGGAACGATCGGCGGCATTTCGACCGCCACAGCGGTTCACGGTGGCCGACCCTAGGCCACTGGCGGCACGTCGAGCCCGCGGCTGATACAAGAAAAAACGTAACTTGTTGGACAGAGAAGGTCCACCGAAGATGCCCCGAGTATGCCATTCGGCTACACGCAAGAGCGACCCCGGGCAAACGTGCCCGTTGGTGCGAGGCTTACCAGCGCTGCGTTCGCTGCGACAGTGGCGGCCTGCGTTCTTGGGCTTGGCCCCGCAGCGCCCCCCGAAAGCTGCACACCGAAGGTCGCTCTGGCGAGGGGTCCCTCCTGCGTGCAGCCGAGCAGAGCGCTCCTTCGGCACCGGCGCAGGCATCGGGGGCAGCGGTGGCAGATCCAGCTGCTCCTCGGACCGGCTGCTCTCACCCTCGGCCGAGTCCGAGCGTGGGCGGTCCGTCAGGCGCAGGCGTCGAGCGCGCCTGCCCTTGCCCGTGGGCCGCGCGGCCTTGGCGCGAGCCAGCTCTTGGAAGAAGGAAGAACGGCACGAACATAAACTTCACTGGCCCAGGATCGGGGAATGTGCAGCGATGTGGCGATCGAAATGCCGCCGATCGTTCAAGACTGAACGATCCACGCGGTGTAAGAAAACGACGGCGGGGCCGTCAGCACGCGAACCTGCTGTCATCTTTCGGACGACTGCGCGGGTTCCCCGATCTCCAGCGCACTGGGATCATGGGTGCGGATTGGGCCCCGGGACCATCAAAAGGCAACTCAGTATGAAGACCGGGCCCCCAGGCAAGGGTCGGGACATCAGAGGGCCCAGCATGGCACAGAAGTAATGAATCTGACTTTTTGGATGTAAGCTGTCGGACGGCTTCTCGTACTTCTTGGGTCGGCGCTAGGCCCCTGCGCCTGGCGAGCGGGATGCGCCAGGGGCGGCGGAGCGCGCCAGGGGCGGCGCTGGAGGTGCCGCCAGGGGTCCTGCGCGGATCTCGGAATGTGTTGGGGACCTTCCTTCCAGAGTTTATGTTCATGTAGTCGTTCATTCTTCGAAGCTCGTCGCGGTGCACAAGGAACTCGGGATCATAGTACAGGCGCTCGTCCTCTGGAAGGTCCTCCTCGTGTGCCTGCCGGTAGTGGTCCTCAATAGAATTCAGCTGGAAGCAGGCGTGCCCACAAAGGTGACACTGATACCTAACCTCGAAGAGCATCGAGAATCTTTTGGGCGTATCGGCGTCCGCACCCTTGCGCCTGGTGATCTCCGTCTGCTGAACGCAATACTTTACTATCTGATCTGGCGGCACTCCAACGCGCTGGCTGAGTGCCACCACTTCCTGCGAGCGCGGCGTCATTGTACGTAACGCCACTGTGACTGCGGGCACTGTTGCCTGGGACTCGTCTCTACCCCCACTGGCACATGGATTGGCCATAACTGCCCTGTAGAAATCATCAATCGCAGTCCGTTGATGTGGTGTCAACCATCCTTTTCCCTTCCAGTTCTTGCGCCTGAAAAGCTCCGCAAGGCCATACTTGTGAGGCAATGGGACCCTTGCGCCGCCGCCGCCTCCTCCTCCTCTTCCTTCGCCAACTTCAGGGCCACCATCGTCGCAGCTTGGCTCGCTGACAGCAGCCTCCTCGCAAGCAGCCCCCTTCTTCTTCGCCTCCTGGTCTCCAGACATCTGGGAGATCCACGCGTTGGCAAGCCCCTTGAGCTGTTCCCAGTACCTGCTGAACGACGTAGACTCCGCGAAGTCGAAGCTGCCGACCACGGGCGGGTCATCGCTCACCCCACCCCTGGTCGCCAGGGTCATGGCGTGCAAGGCCGCGTGCCTCTTAAGGGCCGCACGCGTACTTAGGACCCGCCCCTGCTCAGGGAAGTCCTCACGGAACCTGCCGAAGAAGGGGCGGGCCCCAAGATCTCAGCCCGTGAAGCGCTGCAGCGTCAGGGCCCGACCCTGCCCCGAAAACCCCACCGGAGCATGGCCGAGCGGGTGCGGGCCCCCCCCCGTGCTGCCCCGACCTCTGCAGCTCGTACTTGTGGTTCAGCGCCACGGTCACGTACAAGCCTGGGCGGGGCTGCTGGCTCAGGCGGGCGAGCCGGAGCTTCACCAGGTGGGCCATGAGCCTGCGCACGACCAGGGCGGACCGGGAGGCCCCGCTGTACGTCCGGTTGTGCAGCACGGCCCGGACGTCGGGGGGCAGGTCTCCCAGCCGCGGGAAGCCCTCGCCGCGCAGCAGGTCGTCGACGCGTGCGTCCTGCGTCTCGCAGCCGACGACCTGGAGGAAGACCTGCAGGTCCATCTCGTCCACGATCTGCGAGGCGCTCCAGGAGGTGCCCGCGCTCAGGCCCAGGCGGCGGAGCAGAAACCCGTGCAGCAGCTGCACGCGGGCCATCACGGGCGCCACCCAGCCGTAGAACACCCGGACCACCTGATCGCGCCTGGTGTCCTCCGCGGGGAGACCAGGCCTGGGCAAGACGTCCTGTAGAAGACGGCGCCGACGGGCTGCTGGCGGGTGCGGCGCCCTGGTGGCGTGACTCGCCTCGTCTGGCCGCCCCTCCTGAGAGGCCTGCTCGGCGGCGAGCGGGGCGTCCGCGAGGGCCAGCACCTGCGGGCCGTCTGCGATCGCAAGCTGCTTGCCCTTGCTCAGGCTGTCGATCTTCTTGCGTCGCACTTCTTCCCTCAAGCGCTGCTTGACCGTGTCAACGTGCAGCTGCGCGCTCGCCTCGCTCATCCTCGGGGCCCAGTAGACGAAGCTGGCCTCCCCGCCGTCGGTGCGGACGATGCCGACCCGCTCGTCCCTCCTGGCGAGATCCTCCAGGATGCGTAGGGAACTCTTGCGGTCGATAGTCGTGTTGCTGTTGCGCAGGTCGGTGTCGGTCTCCTTCGGCGAAGAGTCATTGATTTGAACAAACATAAGCATCGGCGCTGGACCCTCCTGGCGGCGCCTCTGGCGTTGCCCCTGGCGTGCACCGCGCGACAGGGAGGCAGGGGTCCGATCAGATAGGTCCGCGCAGGCCTTCGACACTAAGTGCGGCAACGGTCTGACTTATATCTAAAGTCCACCTCTCAGCTACAGAAAACGAAATAATTACCGTGCCGTGCCATACCGTACCATACCGTGCCCGCGTGCAAAGCCGCGCCTGGGTTTTAGAATGGGAAACATGTGCCGTGCCGTGCCGTAAGTTTGAGGATGCAACATCTGTGTGCAGCGCAGTGCTGTGCCGTGCCATGCCCTGCTCGCAGTGCTCGTGTGCTGTCCCGTGCCGAAAGGCTGGAATGCGAAGCATCTGCCGCACAGTGCCGTGCCCAAGTTCTAGAATACAGGGAAAAGTGCCGTGTCCTGCCGTGCCCGCCTGCCGTGCCTTGCCGCACCTGGGCTTTAGAGTGTGAAAGAGGTGTCACGCCATCCCGTGCCCGCGTGCCGTGCCGCGCCCGAACGCGACAAGCGTGCCGTGCCGTGCCTGAATTCTAGAATGGCACAACTTCCATGTTGTGCCTAGGCCCTACTCTGGGGTTCCTAATAAGCGTGGAGGGCACCCCCCCGACGGGGGTCAACCTAGCCTCGTCGTCGCGCCGCGACGGGGGTCGGAACGCTTTCGGCGCGCAGTGGCTGCCCGCGACGGGGGTCGATGTGGGGCTGTCGGCGGGGGTGACGCCCCCCCGACGTTTATCAAGAAACTCGGAATAGACTGCAGCGAGTGTGCCGTGCCGTGCCCTGCCGCACTCGGTGTCTTGCGGCTCAGGCCACCCACACCCCCGACCATAGGCAATACAGTATCGTGTTTCAACCTCTGCTGACTGCTACGCCCTGTTGGGTTTGGCAGGCCCCGCTGGAACTACCAGGGAAGCCTAGGGCGCTATAAGCACCACCTGCTCCAAAAACAGATGCGGCAATTGCGCCGGAACGATTGCGGTTCTACGCTGCTGCTACGGCTGATCCCACAAACCACCCAAACATCCACCGTTCAAGAAACGTCATTTGGCCACCCGCTGTCTGATGGCTGCCACAAGTGAAAAGGCCTGCGCAACACCATGCGATTCGGACCGAACATGACCTCTGTGCTGCTGGCAACTCCAACGTCCACCTATCAATCACTTGAATGAGTTCTCTGCCCACCCTTCGGGAGTACACAAGAGCATGGAAAGGACGCGTCAACCGAAACACTTTCTGGGATTGGGTGTTGGGTCTGCGAATGAAGCCTCGCAAACTTGCATATCGCGTGCAGGCCAACTACGATGCGCTGCCGCCGGGTGGCTCGAGTGCGGGAGCAATGAGATGTGTTGTGCAATTGGATTCTCTCGCACGGCCTTACTTTCAGTATGCTCGTCCGAGCAGACGTGCCGTTGTTTGAAGGTTGTACCGTCTGGCATGTTGACGCTGAAAGGAGTGAGGTTGTCCCCAGCGTTAACACGTATATTCCATGCACTCGGCGAGGTAGCTCTGAAACCAAACCTGGACATGGCATCGATGCTGGCACACAGACAGGATGTCGTTTGGGAACGCGGTATACTCAAAAAAACATGCTGCCTCTGGATCCCAACGCCCACTGCCAAACATTGCTCAGCGTTGACATACAAATATGAGCCGACAATCTCGCCACTGCAACAATGTCCAGTGCCACTGCTGGTCAGAAGCTACCAGCAGGCTTCATCCCCAAGCTGTTCACTGGAGTCCCATTGTTTTTTTCAGAATGGACAGCAACAGATACGACAGCTGATCTCTCAGGTGGTGGTCGGTCAAATTGAGCACTGCACTTATCACGGAGACCTAGTACCTTTTCAAATGCCAAGACTGTATGTCCAGCTTGGCAAACCAGGCGTTCCAAGGGAACAGCTTTCTGCGGAGCTGTTCCATCAAAGCATCTGTGCTACTTACCAGATGCCCCGAATGTTCAAGATACGTTCCCAAGAGTTTTCGTATCATCCCACTTCCTACCGAGAGTGGAAGGCTCCGCCCACTGAGAACTAACCTAATAGCGGCCTCCACGGGAGCCCGAAGATGAAGAATTGCATGCCGACCGCTGCAACGAATTATCAACCAAGGTGTTCCCCATCTTCGCCAGTTTTCTCACACAGACTTTATACAGGATATCATTCGTTCGAGGGCTACTGTCTGCATACACTGGCGGGCGCAGATTGTCAAGGAAGGCCGCCAACTCTGGATTCCTTACAAAACAGAAGCCCCAAGTTTTATCCGTGGGCAGTGCTGCACCCCCTGCGCATCCAGCCATGCGCAGGCATGCCGGTCTGCCACCGACATGTTGTTCCACCACTTCTGAGTCCCAGCAGACGCACCAATTGCTCCACGTACCTTTGTCGAACAACTTCGGCACAAACCTTGGCACATTGCTGCCACATCGAGTGATGCGATCGTGGTTTGACAAAATCTTCGTTGAGAGACCACTATTGGAGACTCGGTGTACCACTTGATTGCCTCTGTCTGCTGCCGTCTCCCTGAAAGGCAAACAACACTTCTGGAAAATATGTGTTCGGCTGTATGTCCCGGCCGAGAACAGAACGGCCCACGGCAAATCCTCAGAAGCATGCGACACTGATCGAGATGAATGGTCGCACACGTACACTTTGGATGCCAGATCGCTTCACCTGCGCACCCTTTCCAGATCCACGGAGCACATGCCTCGGCACAGGCACAGTGCCCGAAAAGCAGACTCTACGTTGTGTTTGTCCTTTTTGCCTTTGCCATTCGGGCTTCTGTGAATACTTCCGTTATGTCCATAATCCTGTTCCTCTTTTTGCCTTGCCGTTGGCACCTTTGCCTCTCGTATCCTGGTTGCCCTACCCCTTGCGTATAGCTCTGCCTTCGCCTTTGAACCCGGCCTTGCCGGTCGACGGAATGCCACTCCGTTTCCCCTAGCGGTCTTCAGCGGACTGGCAGTTTTTGTTGATTAAATCTGTCCAATGGGTTCCGCGGTTCTTTCCTTCCTGTTTGCCCGCTCCTGCTTTGTCAGTGTTGCTTAGTTCTTCACGCTTTCAGGATTGATGGGCATTTCTGTCACACCTTTATCTCCACCGTCCAAATAGAAGTACAATCAACTGTGGACTTGGAGGACCCCTTCTTTAACACATCGCGTTTCTCTGTGGGTAGGGTTTGTTTTACTCTTCCATTTCATGAAAAACTTGCAAGGCTTGCTTCCGAATGAGATCCTTCGGATTCATGGTCGCCGCTATGTGAACCAGAGCTTCTTTTTCTGTCTTGGCTGCTTCTTTCTTCTGGGCATCACGCTTTCGGTCCCGAAGTCTTTTTTCGAATGAATTCTTGGCCCCGCCTTGTCCGTCGAGTTGGCCTCCTGGTGGCTGAAGAGGTCCTGCATTTGACGACGCCATTCTCCTACATCCGATGCCAGAGACAATGGCACAACACAATACGAGTTCAGGAATCACGGAGCATCTATTTCGTGCGCGACCTCTTTAACACGTTGCCTCGTTGCCTTTAAATCCATCCCCACGCTTGTCTCCGGGAGCTTGAAGTGCAAAATGCGGTTTGCGTGCCTGTATGTTGCATTCGCCAGGAACTGTATACGTACTTCCACGTGTGAGACTCTGCGAACACCTCATCGAACCACGGGATGCTGTCCCAGACTTTGAAAGGAGCGTGCCCCGCTGGTTGACAATGGGACTGGATCATCTGTTCATCGATCGTCAGTTTCTCGATTCTGTCTTTGGATTTGAACATCATGCGTAACTTCAATATTTTCGAACTTCGAGGCTGCATTCTTGACCGCCTGGGCCACCTCGGGTGAGACGCTGGCGAGACGCGGTCCTGCAAAATCGCCCCCATTGCTGTATCACCCCTTTCCGATGCTGCTATCCCTAGCTCTTGTCCTGCCTGATGCTGATGTTGTTGCTGCTGTTGATGCATGGCGTACCATGCCTGGGTTCTAGAATCCAAGAAATATCTATCGTGCCGTGCGTGCGTACTGTGTCTGTTTCTTGCGTGCCGTGCGAGGAATCAGCCGTGCCGTGTGTGGTATTGGTCACCCACAGCAACCACGCCTCTGGCATGTTGACTCACCATGCGTGCTCTCATGCAACGTTGCCGCTCAGGGCCTCTTTGCAGCACCGTGCGAGGTGTGCTTCAAAAGCTTGTTCTGTTCCGATCTCCTGCGCCCGGCGCACATCGCCCGCCATCACCACGCCCAGCTCCTCCACGAGAGCCATGGTGCGGTGCACGCGGCGCTCGAACGTGGCGTGTAGGCGCGGTGGGCGGACGCCGCCGCGGCAAGGGAGCGAGCTGTCGGCCAGGCCCGCCGCCGGGGCGGCCGCGCCGTCGCCCAGGGCCGCCGCCAGTGCACCCATGGCGTGGCGCTCGTGGACGTACCAATTCACGTGCGTCTTCCCGTGGCTCTCGAGGACCTTCACCACCTTGCGGCGCCGCAGCAGCTCCGCCAGCAGCCACTCAACGCCCTTGCGAGGCATGCCTAGGTAGTCCTGCACCTGCGTGCTGCTCAGGCCCTGGTAGCCTGGGGGGACACCAGGGATCTCCACCCCGCAGAAGCCGCTGCACTCGATCAGGTCGGTGCCCTGCACGCCGAGCGGCCGCTCCCTCACCCGGAGCACGCAGCCGCTGCTGACCGAAGGTGCCAGGCCGCCACAATCAGCACCGCCTGAAGGTACGGCGAGCCTGTCCACCGCCGCTCCGGCGCCAGCCTCTGGGGCCGCCAGGCCTGCGCACTGCGAGCCCGCCTCGTCCCCCGAGCCTCGGCTGGTCCTTGGCGTCTCAGTAGGCGCTTCCGCTGATGGCGCGCCAGGGCCAGTGCTGTCACTCGGCCCGTCCTGCAACGCCAGCTGCACCTCCTCTTCCATGTGGGCGCCGGGGGAGCAGAGGGCGTCCCGGTAGGTGCGGGCGGTGCTGTCCCACACGCGCACGCACTCGACAACCTGCTGCGAGCTGAGCTGCTGCCGCACCTTCTGGTACAGCCGCCCAACCATGCGGCCAGAGGTGGCGTGCCCGAAGCCACACTCCTCTGTGACCTGCTTCGCGATCAGGCGCAGGTCCTTTTCAAAAGCGACCTTGGCGGGAGCTTCCGCGAGGACCTGCAAGATCTTCTTGGCCAGCGGGTCCGTCGCGAACTGCTCCAGCGACTGCATCTGCGTGGCCTCGACCCTGTCGGCGTTGTAGAAGCGAGTGTGGAAGAAGACGTTGCTGTGCGCCCCCTGTGCTGAGTGCCCGCCCCGAGCGCGGTACTGCTGCAAGACCTAGAGGAACAAGAAATTGCACAAACATAAGCTGTCGGAGGTGCGCGTGGATTTCTTAGATTGCTGCTGGACCCCCTCTTTGGCGCGCGAAGCGCGCCAGGGGCGGCGCCAGGAAGGCCTAGCGACGGTGCAAGAAACCTCGCAGAGCTCCGAAAATTTACGTTCATGTAGGTTTGTTGTGCTTATTCGAAGGCCGGGTCAGGCATGGCCATGTGCACCGAGATCACGAGCCCCGCGATCCGCAGGCCCTCCATCTGGTGGAACATGTCGCGGGCGCTAAGGCCCATCTCCAGCGAGAGGAGCGGGGCGAAGCAGCCGTCGTGCCGCGCGAGAGCCACCATCTGCAGCAGCCTGAGGGTGGTGGGGCACGCCGCCAGCTCCATCACCGGCGTCAGCTGCAGCTGGTGCAGCCTTCAGAAGAAAAAATACAGATCGGCACACAGTAACACTTCGGGTTGCGCGCAGACGCACCCCCAAGTAGTCCAAGCTGGCCTCAACAGGCCCTCCGACTAGTCTGGGCCGGTCTCCACACCATGGCGCAGCCTCCAGAGGCGCCCCTGGGGCGCTCCGCTCCCCATGGTTGGGGGGTTGAGGCCGCCCCTAACTACTTGGAGGCCTTGTGTGGCCAGCGGGGACTACCTGGGAAGGCCATGCGTGCGCAGCCCGAATCCTTACCAGTTCGGCGTAACACAAGAGGTGTCGGATTGGCGCGCGGAGCGCGCCAAGGGCGGGGCCGGATCGCTGCCAGGGATGGGGCCCAGCGCTGGTGCAAGAAAACGACGCGGGCCTCCGAAAGTTTATGCTCCCGTGCGAGCTGTCTCCCTCGAGCCTCACGCTGTCCTGCACGTCCAGAAAGATCTGCCTCTCCGGCGAGGGGGCCCCGCGACAGGGGGCCGAAGGGGAAGAGGCCCTGAACAATGCAAACTCTGCCTAGAAGCCCTGCCGTGTCCTGCGGGCCCAATCTCCTCCTCCGCCTTCTCCTCCTCCTCCTCCGCCTCCTCCTCCTCCTCCTCCTCCTCCTCCTCCTCCTCCAGTTCCCCCTCCCCCTTGGAATCCTCCGACTCCGGGGTGGACAGAGACCCCATTCGGCAAAGTACCCCTTCAGTGAAAACGACCCTGGGGGCCAGACCCGGCGGGCGCAATCCCGCAGGAACTGCGGCCACAACACTCTCGCGAGAACCGACGTCTCGCCCAGGAGGAGGAGGACGAGGAGGAGGAGGAGGAGGAGGAGGAGGAGGAGGAGGAGGAGGGGGAGGACGAGGACGAGGACGACGAAACGCGCTCTGGACCTCTCCAGGGTGCGTGCTGACCAGTACTTCGAGGAAGACCCAGCCGTGGCGACGAGGGCTCTCAAGCACAAGTCGGAGCCATAATTTAGTCATGTTGTGCGCGTGTGTTTGGTTTTTGTTGTTGTGTGGTTTGTTATGGTTCGTCCGGTATGTTGTTGTGTGTTTTTGTGTTTTGTTGTGTGTTGCGTGTGTGTGTGTGTGTGTGTGTGTGTGTGTGTGTGTGTGTGTGTGTGTGTGTGTGTGTGTGTGTGTGTGTGTGTGTGTGTGTGTGTGTGTGTGTGTGTGTGTGTGTGTGTGTGTGTGTGTGTGTGTGTGTGTGTGTGTGTGTGTGTGTGTGTGTGTGTGTGTGTGTGTGTGTGTGTGTGTGTGTGTGTGTGTGTGTGTGTGTGTGTGTGTGTGTGTGTGTGTGTGTGTGTGTGTGTGTGTGTGTGTTTTGTGCTGTTCCCCACCGGACAGGTTGGGGTCGCTAGATTTGTTTAACAAAAAACAAAAAAACTCCGGGCCACTCCCACCCTGCATATCGCGGCCGCCAGACCCCAAGTTGTCCCCAGTATCCCGGTTACCCTGCCTCGCGCCCTCGACAAACACGACAGAACACACCCTGCATACCGCGGCCGCCAGACCCCAAATTGTCCCGAGAAGCCCGGGTGTCCCGCCTCGAGCCCTCGACAAACACCACAGAACACAATACGACACAGCATAACATGACAGAACAGAGCAAGAGCATGACAGAGCATGGCATAACACAACATATCAAAATCATGACAACATAGAGGACACCAGCACATCACAGAACGTACCCGAGCATAACATGGCATAACATGTTTGTTTTGTGTTTTTTCGTGCATGAGTCGCAACGGTCTGGACAGTCACGCAGGGGAGGGACGACGAAGAAGAGAGGAGGGGAGGTCTGATACAAAGCCTCGAGGGCCACCTCTGGGGCCAACCGAATGACGGAGAATGGGGGCAAGGAGTGGCTAAGGATAGAAAAAGGGGGCGAAGGATAAAAGCGGGAGGGGAACGCGAGCGGCGCACCGAGGAGCAGAAGCGGAGAGAAAGGAAGTTCTTCGGTTGACCAAGAAGAGGGGGAGGTTGATGACTAATTTGAGGCTCTGGCTTTGCACACAAAGCACCAGTAGCGGTCCAGGTAATTGCCATTTCCCACCTCCTCTAACCGAACCCCCCTTGAGGACAATGCCCTCTGCAGGGCGAGGGCGCTCCGCCAATCGACTTGGCAGGGTAGGAGTGAGGGGGAACGTTGAGGGGGGAACCCGCTAAGCTGGGCGCAACGCCCACCCGGAATCGGCGATGCATCGCCGACGGATCGGCGACAGGCCCCCTGGCAGCGAAGCCGCGGCCCTGTCGGCGACAGGCCCCCGGCAGCGAAGCCGCGGCCCTGGGCGCGGTGGGCCGTCAGGCCCCCATCGGCGATCAGTGGGCGACTGGGAGCCGACGCCCCCCGTCCCCCTCCCAGGAGGAGGAGGAGGAGGAGGAGGAGGAGGAGGAGGAGGAGGAGGAGGAGGAGGAGGAGGAGGAGGAGGAGGAGGAGGAGGAGGAGGAGGAGGAGGAGGAGGGGGAGCCCGTCCCCAGCGATGCCTCCTGGCTTTCGGGTCACAGCTCGGCTCTCCGGCGGCCGTTCGGATCATGGGCACCCCCAGGAGCGCCCGCGGCGAGGCGCCGCCGGGGCCGGAGAGCCGCCGGGGATCAGCGCAAACGCCCGAAAGCCTCACGCCTGTGGTCCCTCGGGAATCGAAAGGCGATCCGTGGACCTGTCCTGGGATGCGTTCTGACCAGCACTTCGAGGCGGGTCCAGCCGTGGCCAGGAGGGCGCCCCAGGAAGGGCAACACCTCCAGAGAGCGAACCTGAAGGCTTCCCCCCCCTGAGTCTGTTCCCCCCCTGTACCGTTTTCCTCCGATGCACAAGACGGGTCAACAACGCGACGCGCAGCACATACAAGCGCGCAGCGTTACAATCGACATGCACTCCGACTGGGCCCCGTGAGTCACCACGTAAACTCGAAATTTATATTGATAATATTTACCCTGGCGACGTACCCAACCCCTGCGCAAACGCGGGGCGCAAATAGTTTAGGACACTTTATAAGGGGGGCGATGACGGAGCAAGGGTTACATATGTCTGCAGACGGAATTCGGGAGACTCGCAGGAAACTGGCTTCAGGACAAGGACTAGATAAAGCTGATTAGTTGCAATCCCTGAGCAACCCTAGCCACTTCGAAAGCGGAGATCTCAGATCGCAGCCCCCCAGGGATGGCGAGGTCTAATTTGGGTCCGCGCGTGGCGTCACTGTGCTGGGCCCGCCAAGCAGGCCTCGAAAGTGGCGACAGTTTCACAGATCGCAGCCCCCCCCAGCGATGGCGAGATCTAACTTGAATCTGCCCGTGGCCCTCACTGTGCTGGGCCCCCCAGCAGGCCTCGAAAGTGGCGACAGTTTCACAGATCGCAGCCCCCCAGGAATGGCGAAGTCTAATTTGAATCTGCCTGTGGCCCTCACTGTGCTGGGCCCACCAGCAGGCCTCGAAAGTGGCGACAGTTTCACAGATCGCAGCCCCCCAGGGATGGCGAGGTCTAATTTGAATCTGCCCGTGGCCCTCACTGTGCTGGGCCCCCCAGCAGGCCTCGAAAGTGGCGACAGTTTCACAGATCGCAGCCCCCCAGGGATGGCGAGGTCTAATTTGGGTCCGCCCGTGGCCCTCACAGTGCTGGGCCCCCCAGCAGGCCTCGGAAGTGGCGACAGTATCACAGATCGCAGCCCCCCAGGGATGGCGAGGTCTAATTTGGATCCGCCCGTGGACGTCACTGTGCTGGGCCCCCCAGCAGGGCTCGAAAATGGCGACAGTTTCACAGATCGCAGCCCCCCAGGGATGGCGAGGTCTAATTTGGGTCCGCCCGTGGCCCTCACTGTGCTGGGCCCCCCAGCAGGCCTCGAAAGTGGCGACAGTTTCACAGATCGCAGCCCCCCAGGGATGGCGAGGTCTAATTTGGGTCCGCCCGTGGCCCTCACTGTGCTGGGCCCCCCAGCAGGCCTCGAAAGTGGCGACAGTTTCACAGATCGCAGCCCCCCAGGGATGGCGAGGTCTAATTTGGGTCCGCCCGTGGCCCTCACTGTGCTGGGCCCCCCCAGCAGGCCTCGAAAGTGGCGACAGTTTCACAGATCGCAGCTCCCCAGGGATGGCGAGGTCTAATTTGGGTCCGCCCGTGGCCCTCACTGTGCTGGCCCCCCAGCAGGGCTCGAAAATGGCGACAGTTTCACAGATCGCAGCCCCCCAGGGATGGCGAGGTCTAATTTGGATCCGCCCGTGGCCCTCACTGTGCTGGGCCCCCCAGCAGGCCTCGAAAATTGCGACAGTTTCACAGATCGCAGCCCCCCGCGGGCAAGACAGGAAGAGGCGGGAGGGGAAAAGGAGGGCGGGAGGAGAAGGGACGCGACCACACTGCTCTATTCAAAACGAATACCCAACCAAGGAGGGTTGGGAATAAGAAGAAGCAGATGGCGAACTATAATAATAGCACTAATTATCATAACAGTAATACACATACAAAATATTAGTACCATTAAAATGAGACGAACCATGATCTAACTAATAATACCATGTAAGACTACTAATACTAATACCACTCATGATGATAACTACTAGTACTAGTACTACTAAACATACTAGTATACACTAATAATGATACGAACACTAATCAACTAATACTACTAGAACATAATGAGAATACGACTAATATTACTACTACTAACACCACTAACAATAACACTACTACTAACACCACTACTACTAATACTAATACTAATACGAATGCGAATAATTAAGCACACTAATAATACGAATAATAATAATAATAATAATAATAAAAATTGGAATGGTAATACTACGAACAACGAATACAAATAATACTAATTTAAACAGCATAAACTCATAGTATACACATACTACGAATAATAACAACAAGGAGGAGGGGGACGGCAGAAGCAGGGGAGGACGATAGAAGCAGGCGAGGACGACGGAAGTAAGGAGGACGACCTGCCCCCCCCCCCTAACGTTAATCCGGACTTGGCTAGGTGGTTCGCACGGGAAAAAATGTGTTCTGACAG